GACAGACCACAAAAGTAACTATTTCTGTTGTAATGGTTGTGTAAAAAAAATTAATTTACATTTGTAGTTACTAACTTATATTCAATGTATTCTTTGAATCCATAAATTCAGATAAAAATCCAGAAACCAAAAATACAGAATTTGAATACATAGCACATAAAATAATGCATTGTATTTTCCTTTTGTCCCTTCCTACCATCTCCCTCCCCCAACCCACACACACCCCTCGCTCCCTCAATTAATACAAAATAGATAATAGTTAAATATCTTTGATTAATAATTCTCTTACTAGTTCGAAATGTCGTTAATAGGGTTAATAAGTAGCTTTAATTGGGGGGGGGGGGGGGTTAGCTTTTATAAGGGCAGTAAATAGTTTTGATGGAGGCAGTAAGTAGCTTTAATGAGACGGTAAATGGCTTTAATAGGGGCAGTAAATAGCTTTAACGGAGGCAGTAAGTAGCTTTAATAGGGGCAGTAAATAGCTTTAATATGGGCAGTATGTACCTTTAATGGAGGCAGTAAGTAGCTCTAATGGGGGCAGAAAGTAGCTTTAATAGGGGCAGTATGTACCTTTAATGAGACAGTAAATAGCTTTAATGGGGGCAGTAAGTGCCTTTTATGAGACACTAAGTAGCTTTAATAGGTTCAGTAAATAACTTAAGTGAGACAGTAATTAGCCTTAATAGGGGCAGTAAGTACCTTTAATGAGACAGTAAATAGCTTTAATAGGGGCAAAAAGTAGCTTTAACGGAGGCAGTAAATAGCTTTGATAGGGGCAGTAAATAGCTTTAATGAGGAGAGTAAATAGCTTTGATAGGGGCAGTAAATAGCTTTAATGAGGAGAGTAAATGGCTTTGATAGGGGCAGTAAATAGCTTTAATGAGACAGTAAATAGCTTTAATAGGGGCAGAAAGTAGCTTTAACGGAGGCAGTAAATAGCTTTGATAGGGGCAGTAAATAGTTTTAATGAGGAGAGTAAATAGCTTTGATAGAAGCAGTAAATAGCTTTAATGGGGGCAGTAAGTAAATTTAATAGTAGAGTTTAATCGCTTATAGTTTTCTTCAAAGTGTGATTATCAGAACATACAACAATGTCATACATGGAGGCTAAAAAACTCTTTACCCTTGAAAGAAAAGCAAATCATGCCTGATTCAAATAATACGACAACTGTAAAATTTCCAAAAATACAGTTTAAAGAAATGTTTCAAGTAATTAAAAAAACAGTTGATTTTATTTTCATTAATTTACCCTTTCTTACAATTATAGTAGAATATAACCAACTGAATATTCTATATATTATATAATTACTTCAACAACGGTGACCGTGAAAGAGAAACGAGAGTTCAGCGTGAAAAAGATGACGCTACATCGAACCAAATGAAGGCATTTTATAAAATATGTCACTATGACATTCCAGAGGTGCTTGCACCAAATGAAACGATAGCGTGCTAAATCCAAATAGAGAATTCCCAAAGCTGCTCTTAATGTATATAAAGAAAGCTTCAAACAATACTTGTATCTGCAATCTGTTGATGAGTGGAGCACAAACAGGCCAGGATCGCCATTACAGCAGCACCGGAAGTAGGATAAGAAGAGAGTCAGATAAAAATTAAAAACACTCTTTATCTTTACAAAACACGAAATCAAATTATGGTTATATCCAAGACTTTTATACCCTGCGAAAATGCAAACAAAATGTAGATGTTTACCATTCCTAAACACCGCGTCAGATTCACGTTTGTTTAACGTCTTCCCTTTTTTACTTACATTTTGAGTTTACAATAAGATCTTATAACAATATTGATATCTTTTTTAAGTAAAAATGGATTACTATAATTATGTATTTTCAAATACAGTTTTGCCTTTTGCCTGTTGGTGTTATGGCATATATATATATATATGTATTTTCAAGACCAGGGTTTATTATGAGTTTTCCAAGCGGTATACATTTTCAGATGCTACTGTCAGATGTTTGAGCAATAAACGCGAGACAGGTCGACTCGGAAGTAATTTGCAGAGAAGCTGTCAACTTGTGTGTAATTGCTGTAAGCTGTGACAGCCCTTCTCTACCACTGTGTAGGTTGACAAATGTCAACCTTTTCTAATGCTAGCTCGGACGCTCTGAATAACATTAACTTGTGTTTTTTAACATCGACTTGTGTTTTTGACCTTATCTTGCATTTTGATATTTCTTTGAGGAAGGACGGAGAGATAAATTGAGTTACCTTAGAAAACATACATCACTTGTCCAGTGTAAGGATTACAGTCTCATTTGATATATTACCTTGTTATGGTTAACGTAGACTGTCTAGGGCACGGTCTTGTGTTTTGACGTTGTGTGTGGGTATTGTTTTATGCTGTGACATGTGCTGACATTATCTTATCATGTAACATTGGCTACTGTGTTGACATTATCTTGTGTCACACTGACTACTGTGTTGATATTAACATATGTAACACTGACTACTGTGTTGATATTATCTTATGTAACATTGGCTACTGTGTTGATATTAACTTATGTAACATTGGCTACTGTGTTGATATTAACTTATCATGTAACATTGGCTACTGTGTTGATATTAACTTATCATGTAACATTGGCTACTGTGTTGATATTAACTTATCATGTAACATTGGCTACTGTGTTGATAATAACATATGTAACATTGGCTACTGTGTTGATATCATCTTATGTAACATTGGCTACTGTGTTGATATTAACTTATATAACATTGGCTAATGTGTTGATATTATCTTATATAACATTGGCTACTGTGTTGATATTAACTTATGTAACATTGACTACTGTGTTGATATTAACTTATCATGTAACATTGGCTAGTGTTGACATTGTCTTTTGTCACACTGACTACTGTGTTGATATTAACATATGTAACATTGGCTACTGTGTTGACATTATCTTGTGTCACACTGACTACTGTGTTGATATTATCTTATATAACATTGGCTACTGTGTTGACATTATCTTGTGTCACACTGACTACTGTGTTGATATTATCTTATATAACATTGGCTACTGTGTTGACATTATCTTGTGTCACACTGACTACTGTGTTGATATTATCTTATATAACATTGGCTACTGTGTTGACATTATCTTGTGTCACACTGACTACTGTGTTGATATTATCTTATATAACATTGGCTACTGTGTTGACATTGTCTTGTGTTTTGACTTTTGTTTGTTTTGTTGATATTTTATGTGGTTTGACAATTCGTTCCTCGATATGCCGAGATTTTCATTAGAAGTTTTCCATTTACGTACACGTGAAAAAAAAAATGATAAAAAAGAAAAAGAACGAAGCGTTAATGTTCAATATCAATCCGTGGTGTGCTTGATAAGGAAGGATAGACAATGATTTGAGTATTTAACAGTGGGAGCGAATGGAGTACACATACGTCAAACAAATGAGATTCTACGAAACGATATCGAAGTACGCCAGAATCCACATGGACACGGAAGTTGTCACAGATTATGTAAACGTGTGTCGTTGTCTCCATATTCCCCTTATTATTGTCAGGTGAAGAAGCTGTCTAGAACATTCCTTGGGGATACGGGACGGAAAAAAAGTCTCTCCTTATCAGAGATATATATACGTCATGTCCAATACACGTGTGGAGAATGATGTAGAGTTGCTCTCTGTGATACCATTAAACATCAAGATCCTTGTCACAGAATATTATGGTTTATGCTAATACCTTTGAGGACAACTGTTCTTAATTATAAAAATCTAGTTAGCAAACAATTTTCTTTCTCCATTTTTTCCTTTTTGAACATTTCTCAAATCTTACCAAATCCGGTTACTGTAAATATGAAAAGAGACTGTATACTATAACCAAACCTTTTGTTATTTTCGTCTGATCATATTTTATTGTAATGTCTCTTTACATTCAAATCTTCATTTCAAAGGATATACATTTGAACTCGTTACCTCGAAATCGTATAACTCGAACACCCCGTTTAATTCGGAACATTTCGTCGGTCTCTGTCTAACTTTCCAAAAAACACTCGAACTCGCTTAAATCGAATATTCGGTTATCTCGCAGTTTTCCCATGGTCCTGCTGAGTTCGAGATGACGAGGTCCGACATTACTGTACATGATTATCTTACTAAAGAACCACATTGAACTAATCTCTCCGATTCGGAATGAATTTTCTTTTATAAAGGAATTCGTAAATTCGATATCTGGTTTCAACATTAAATTCGCACCTGTTACACTCACAAAAAAAAAATCTAATTTAGAATATCGGTGTTGTATAAATCGTTATCATTATGACGTCATCACTGCTGACATAGAAAGGGGATGGTACACTATCAAAATTGTGTTCACTCGGCTGATTCTAAAAAATATTCCGGCTTGAGCTCGGCAAAGATCGTAAGGCATGTTTTAAAATGTTGATATCAATAGTTTTTATATACCAACGCACGATATCATCTTGAGTATTTTCAGGTAAATGATTTTTAACTATATCGATAATCTGTTTAAGATTATATATTCTCTTCGCTTCTTCAGTAAAAATTGCGTATATTGGGGTTTAAATGACATGCATGTAGGACAACGTGGAATTTCGATGACATTGCATATTGATTTATTGATTGATTGGTTTATTTATTGATTATATCTATCTATTTATCAGCCGTGTACGGCATTCATATTCTTTATTCCGAAACGATGTTTGAATGTTATTGTCCGAATTAGGAAAAGTTCGTTTCTAATTTTTGTGTCGTGTCAGTGACGAATAAATGTGGGTTTTCGACGAAAACAATGGATGGCGTGTATTCTTGAGGATAGTTGTGATGAATAATGGAAGTCTTTATCTATAAAGCTTGTCCCAAGGATACCTAACTAATTAACCTAACTTAAGACACGCTACATGTAAACACATATCTATGATTTATGTTTTTTAGTGAAAGCACACGATGTATTTTCATATTTACATGAAATATTTATGATTTGTTTTATTCAATTTTTTCAGGGCCGAAGTTCTGGGGATATCATAACCCGGAGTGGATTTTGTGTCGGAAAGGAAAATTACAATCTCCAATAAATATTGATCCTGACAATCTTATATATGATCAAAATCTACGACAGTTAGAAATAGGCCAAGACAAGGTAAGGGCCGATAACTCTGTTAGCATTGACAAACACAAGGGCAGACCACTCTACAGTACCGATCATGATGTCCTACTTATTTAAACAAAAATATGTCATATATATTAAGATTAGCAATATATAACTGAATTATCGGATATAAACACATTTTTAAATGAAATGATTAAAAACTTATCACAATAAGTGTTTCTAAAGTAACAAGTCAGGGTCAGATAACCTGGGTGTTACAATATACATTGTAGTAGTTCAAAACGCTAACGTGTTTTGTTTGTTTGTTTGTTTGTGTTTATCTTATTATCTTATTCTTGTTACGAGATCACTTCGAACATTCATGTACAACCTATTGCGAAAGAGTGAGCTCTGAAGACGAGAAACGTTATCTAAACATGCAATCGATACTACAAAAATAAACAAAAAAAAAAAAATAAGAAATAAAATAAACAATTACATGAATAGATAAATAAATAAATAAATAAATAAATAAATAAGAAGAGTAAGAACCGCAACTCTTAATAAAATACAAAAGACACATATAATTAATGATTTATAATGAATAGGCAGGTAATGATGTTACATTATTTTCTAAAATCCATTCATTTTATGAAAAATGAACGAAAAGAAGTAACTGTCAGCACAGCTATACCTGTATCTTTGTACTGGTGAAAACAGGGAAAACACTATGTGTTTAGATCTCAATGATTTAAGTGTCGGATGGCCAGAACGATCTGACGTGTATACAAGAATGATGCCTGGTTTGTTTTTAGAATGTAAACTTTTCAGTAAGTTGCCCATTGCAATGAGTTCAAGCATTCAAGTGCGACAATTCATTTGGGGTGACTTTTAGTGGCAATATCTGATAGAACAGAGAAGAATTGGTAACATTTACAAGAATAAAATAGAGAGCTAGAAAACGGCTGTTAATGTTGTATTATTGGATTCTGAAATACGGTTGTGGTGTCTTGGAAGCAAAATACGTCAGACTTACGGATATATAAAGATGTGTACACTAAGATGTTATTCCGGCACGAGTTTATTTCCTTCCCATAAATTAATCAAACGATAACTTTACAATATGGACACGATCGAACTCTGAGTTTGGCTATTGCTTACCATCTTGCGACAGATTGTGTAATGGTAGTCGTGACGGCTCTTGCGCTTGTCGAAGTTTTCATTATTATTACTGATATGCCCGTGTATCAATCTTATTTCTTAATGTGTAATAACTTTCCCTTTTTCAGATAGACGGAAAGTTAATAAATACAGGTCACGATCTGACCTTGACAGTAGATGACCTTGACTTCACCTTTACAGGGGGTCCATTGTCCTATGATTACGTTGTTTACGAAATAAAGCTACATCTGGGGAACTCGGATCGTATTGGATCGGAACACACAGTGGGAGGAAATGCCTTTCCAATGGAAGTAAGTGGTGCTTTAAAACATCAACTTTACACGTGACTGTTTTTCTCATGTTTAGCAGCAAAGGGTACAATATCGTGAGATAGAAATAGAAATAAAAACATTGATACAGTTTGTAAAAAAAAAAAAAAAATCAGAAAATTGATGTACTTAAAAGGAGATAAAGAAACCAGTACTTTTTCTGATTTTGAAATCAGACATCGCAAATGAAAATTCAAAGCTGACTACCGTAGTCGAAAAAATACATTGGGAATTCTCTACAGTGCTTCAAAAATACTCTTAAAGCTTACTATAAAAACACACAAGGGACCGTGAATGTACGAGCGTCGCACAGTTAGAGAAATTTGTCAGTTTTTTTTAAGTGTACTAACAATTAGATCAACTTTAAGATTAACATTACCGCAACATTTGTGGTCACAGGTGCAACTTTTGTGTAATGACTCAAAGTGAAAAGAGAGCGAAGACTTTCCTTTACACTATACTACATAGATAAATATAGTCACTGATTAATCATTCATAGTTTAAAGTCATAACTCTCTCAAAGTCAAACAACTCGTGTACACGTTAGAGAAGGAGAGAAATTCTTTACAATACCTACACGAAGGTAGCGACGCAATTTTTGGGAAAACGTGTACAGCACGTGTACAAATACAGGTATATATGCAGAGCTTGGGTCTGGTACCAAAATATAAGGGAACGTGAAACAGTACGTGCAACACGTTCACATGTACCGTATGTACGCATAAAAGCTAATTGTCAGAAATCACGTGTCGAAGTTTGCCTAGGACAGCTTAAGGTGGTGATCTTTTCAGGTTTTATTTGATTGTAGCGAATGATGTTCGAGCTATGTAATCCACGCTGAGTTTGAAGAACATTTCTTAACCATTATTTAGAAATGTTCGGGACACAGTTTACCCATTTCATGACCAATACATAAACCATATATTTATTAATCATAACTTGATCAAACTTTTTTTTCAATTTCGGACATTTTCTTCTGTCTTAACCATACCAAGATGATTGTCTTCCGTCCTAACCTTACCAAGATGATTGTCTTCCGTCCTAACCTTACCAAAATGATTGTCTTCCGTCCTAACCTTACCAAGATGATTGTCTTCCGTCCTAACCTTACCAAGATGATTGTCTTCCGTCCTAACCTTACCAAGATGATTGTCTTCCGTCCTAACCTTACCAAAGTGATTGTCTTCCGTCCTAACCTTACCAAGATTATTGTCTTCTGTCCTAACCTTACCAAGATGATTGTCTTCTGTCCTAACCTTACCAAGATGATTGTCTTCCGTCCTAACCTTACCAAGATGATTGTCTTCCGTCCTAACCATACCAAGATGATTGTCTTCCGTCCTAACCTTACCAAGATGATTGTCTTCCGTCCTAACCTTACCAAAATGATTGTCTTCCGTCCTAACCTTACCAAGATGATTGTCTTCCGTCCTAACCTTACCAAGATGATTGTCTTCCGTCCTAACCTTACCAAGATGATTGTATTCCGTCCTAACCTTACCAAGATGATTGTCTTCCGTCCTAATCTTACCAAGATGATTGTGTTCCGTCCTAATCTTACCAAGATGATTGTCTTCCGTCCTAACCTTACCAAGATGATTGTCTTCTGTCCTAATCTTACCAAGATGATTGTCTTCCGTCCTAACCTTACCTTATCAAGATGATTGAGTCCTAACCTTACCGTCCTAATCTTACCAAAATGATTGTCTTCCGTCCTAACATTACCAAGATGATTGTCTTCCGTCCTAACCATACCAAGATGATTGTCTTCCGTCCTAATCTTACCAAGATGATTGTCTTCCGTCCTAACCTTACCAAGATGATTGTCTTCCGTCCTAACCTTACCAAGATGATTGTCTTCCGTCCTAACCTTACCAAGATGATTGTCTTCCGTCCTTATCTTACCAAGATGATTGTCTTCCGTCCTAACCTTACCAAGATGATTGTCTTCCGTCCTAACCATACCAAGATGATTAAAGAATTTGTTGCAAGATATCAGTGTACAGGTATTTAACAAGAAATAATATACAGAGAACAACAATGTTTTTTTTTTATAAATTATTTAATTTCCTAAGTACGTCATTTTACGTAGAAAAGAAGAAATCACAATGACGTCACAGTAACACTTCAGTGTGACATGACACCAAACCATTTAGATATCTTCACACAGAGATCATTTGAGTGGAAAAGAGATAGTGAATTGGAGAAAGTTGTCGATGTGTTTGGAACAGGAGATAGGCGAGCAAGGATATTAGACTCACGGACGGTTTATCTTGTTAGCTTATCTAATTGACTTTGGAAATAACATTACTTTGAAAAACTCGCCACAATAACCGGATATCAGAGGGTGACATGCACTGTAAGAAAGCCATCTATTGCTTTTTCTGATTTTTTGTCTCCTCTGTTCAATTGAAACGGAAACTATTGCACCAAATCTAGCTAAAGAGTTATAGTTGTTTGTGTATAAACCTATTTCTGTTGAATGTGAAGAAGAATCCTGTAGAATTAAAAGCAGTAGATGAATGAGTTGCTTCCGTTACGTGTTGAGTAGTTTTTTGCGTCATTATCATAAAAGCAAAGACATAATTTGTCATGATAGTTCATTCCGCATCTGGTATGTAATCAGTTACATGAATTATATAACCCTCCGCGTCGCGAAGTAGTCCATCCGTCACATTATAACACTTTTGGGGAAAGGAAGGATTTTGTCTGCTGTTTACATTAACACCATTCCTTTCTCTCGTTTGTCCATGTTTGTTAGAAGAAGAAGAAGAAGAAGAAGAAGAAGAAGAAGAAGAAGAAGAAGAAGAAGAAGAAGAAGAAGAGTTCAAAGTCTAATCGCGAGGATTTCGGGTGTTTTGGACGATTTGGTGTTGGTATACAATGAACAGTTCGAATATTGCGTGCATGTTGTAATCTATCACTTCGGAAAGACATTCCATGCCATTCGGAACCCCATTCACAATCTGCAGCTTGAACAAGTGACATGATGACTAACGTTCGCGGACACATTACGCTGACAAGATCAGTAGAAATATTGTATATGGTAGCCCAAAATCTATTTATATGTCAGTAAGGGATACTCGACGGTCCGGAGTCTGGTCATCCATCATCAGGCACTGGTACCATAACGCGCTACCTAAGAAGTATCTAATATATGACACGGTCTGCCGGACATCAGTATTCCGTACAGGAGTATGGTTTGTGAATATAATATCGGTAAATAAAAAATACACCGCTTCAGTCCATGAGGACTAATATAAGACACGCACACATACGGCCGTAGTATTTACATCAATGAATGGAATAGGTTGTGAAAAAATATTATCACTGTCGAGTTGGGTACAGCAATATCTAGATGTGATCAGATTTTATAACATTTTTATTGTCTATATATTGTTATAGTTAACATTTTGTAAGAGATATGTCTTCAAACAACTGGTGCAGTTGAGGATTGAATAGAAATACATGTAATTATATAAATTTGCGGTTCATGTACGTTATGATTAAGTGTGTTATTTTCTGACTGAAATCACAATTAGAATGTTTATAAAATATCAATTGTTTTAGGTCATACAACGTGCACGTTTAAGAGCGAAAATCAGGAAAACGATCTACAATATGAAAGAAAACATTTACTAACAATGTCAGAATCGACTATTTATTCAGGAAACGAATGTGATTGAAAAGACAAATTAGTTAGAATCGACTCTTGAAATTTAATCACATCTTTACGAAGGAAAACAGAGAACAATGAATTAAAATCTGGCTATGTATTGGAAGCAAAGCCCGCATGCAAACAACATTGAAAAATCACCTTCAGACCAGCGTGTGTTACAATGGGGTCAAGGTCGTATGCTCCAATATTCTATTAAGCAAATCACTTTCCCGTACAAAACAAGCCCTCATATATATACTGAATTTTTTAAATGTAATTACTAAATATACTATCTACCTGTATAAATTGGTTTTGATCTTTGCATTTGTGTCGATCTCTTGCTACAGATGTTCAAATCAATCAACCACTTGCTACTTAATCGATAAATTAATCACTTCGATGAATTAAACTGTTCAGGGAATATTTATTTTGAAGGAAATTGATGGGTAGCTGATAATATGACAAATGTATTCTGCTTTCTCATCGTTGTATAATACAGTGAGAGATATTGGGAATTGTAAGGCTAGAGTCTGCACGTCGACAGATGACAAATGATATATCCGCAACAAACGGTTTTGAGAGATACAGAGCGAAAAGATCATAAAGAAGTTTAACGGTCGCATTCATTATTTCATTGGGAAATATTCTTTTTGTCTTGAATGCTATAAAGTTGGATATGCTCTAAGCTCGTTACTGTGCCTTTTGGTCCCGTGGATGTTTACCTTGTTTTAATCGTTGTTGTAAGCGTGACAGGAATCTCTTCGATTAACCCAGATTCAGGTAATTACGTGGTAAGTGTCGTTGATAAAACAGGAGACATTTACCGTTACACAACATCTGGTCTTACTCTTCTACCTTTTTCAGGTGTTACCTTGTCAGTCATCCTTTTGTTCCTAACTTGTTTTATTTTCATCGAATGAGTTTAAAACGGGAAATGAGATTCTGCATGTTGACATGTTGGCATCTTAAGGCCATCAGAGCGAAGCTCAGTGATCTTTTCTGACCGTCTTTGTCTGTGGTCGTGAAACACCTGCCGTCCGATGGTATTTAAACATTTCTGATTTCTTCTAAAAAAACCTCTGCAGGAATTTCAATTGAAGAATGAAGAAAAAATCAAACTGTATGATTCCATCCCCTCCTCCTCATTAGAATTAAGGAAGGTGCAAACTACAAGATACAAAACTCCCAGGGTGCGTTATCAAATTGGTCCCCCGTTTCCCTCAAGGAAGTTGCTAGATATCACTATAATATACATAATAATATGACATTTAGGGGTATATACATTAATGTTAAGATAACAGGACAAAGATGGCCGTTCAGGACT